ACTTAGAACCAACATGCCCAGTTCAGCACTTCCTTGTGTGTCTGACTTTCCCATTAAGACTGTGTACTTTAGCCCCGGCCAGTTTGAGCTCAGGGGATAGAGCATCGGCCTGCGGGCTGAAAGGTCCCGGGTTTGATTCCAGCCAAGGGCATGTACCTCAGTTGTAGGCTCGATCCCTGGCCTTGGTCAGAGCATGTGCAGGAGGCAACTAATCACTGTCTCTCTCACATCGATGTCTCTCTCTCTGTGTCTCTCCCCCTCCCTTCCACTCTCTCTAAAAATCGGTTGAGAAATACCCTTCGGTGAGGACTAAAGAATATACATATTTCAATAACAAAATAATGTCGCCGGTTGTCACAGTAACCGATTCAAACAGCACAGGAGGGAACAAAATGAAACCGAATCCTTCCCTCTCCCCAGCTCCACTCCCTACACTTTACAAGATTACAAACCTGTGTTCAGCTGAGCATCTAGAGCAGCGGTTCTCAACCTGTGGGTCGCGACCCCTTTGGGGGTCCAACGACCCTTTCACAGGGGTGGCCTAAGACCATCGGAAAACACATATAATTACATATTGTTTCTGTGATTCATCACTGTGCTTTAATTATGTTCAATTTGTAACCATGAAATTGGGGGTCACCACAATATGGGGATCTGTATTAAAGGGCCGCGGCATTAGGAAGGTTGAGAACCGCTGCTCTAGAACATTCCAGGCCCTGCAATGGACACCACTCCATCCCTGTTTTCAAACAAGCTCCGAGGTTCGCCGGGTTCGCCAGCGGTTCAAGCTGAGGCTGACTTGTTCCATGAGACTGTGGTGCCCGTGGGGGGGCCTCTGGGGGGGCCTCTGGGGGGGCCTCTGGGGGCGTCAGGCAGAAACTGGCCCACAGCTGGGTCTGGGCCGGTGGTTCTCAGCTGAGGGCGGTCTGGCCTCCGGGGTCACCTGACAGCGTCCGGAGACGTTTTGATGGTCAGGCCGGGGTGGACCGGCCACGGGCTGGGACACCCCTACATCCCCGTCTGCACCCCCCACACGGGCCC